GGTAATTACTTCACTCCATAAAAGAGCCTTTAAATCATTAAATGTAATCCATTAAAAATCTTGTTTAATGATCGGGATACTTTAGTCCATTAATTATGCTAATTGTTAAACAAGACAGGGTAAACAAGAGCTGCAAACAATTCCCTTTTTCCTTTTTAAATTCAACAGCACATTGTTTACCGTACTGTCTTTCATGCAAATACAAAAGGCATAATTGTGCGGGTAATTGTGAGTTAAAGATTAACAAGGCTTTAATGAGAGTAACCTTGTGCATAACGTAATTCTGTCGCATTTAATGCATAAAAAGCAATAAACGTCACTTTATTATAATTATGGAAAAAGGAGAAAATAGCTTTAATGTATAGCTTTAAAAAAAAATGGGCAATATAGCATTAAAAAAAATCTATATTTTTGGCCTTTTGATGATTTTGAAAATTATTTCATTTATTCTATATCTTAAATATTTATTTTTACTTTTATTTATGAACCTGCACCAAAATGGCTCAAGATTTCCCCCCCAAATTAGAAGAACTATCATTTCCATAAATCAAAATGATTAAACATTACTATTTCTTGTGTTCATCAAGTAATAAACAGTGGAAATCATGTCTTGATTATTTTAACTAGTTTAATAGGTTTTACTACTTCTTTGGTTCCTCTGAAGGTGAAAAAAGAAGGGAAAAAATAAGATTCTATATTTTAATTCTATATCAATTTCAAGCTGAGCACCAAAATATGTAATAACATAATATGTAACTATATATTTTTTTACTAAAACATTTGTATATACAGAAAACTTGAGACTGTGAACATATGTAAAATAATAATGCAATAATATGTAACTATACTACAGCATTTTAATATAAAAAAGAAAATCTGAGACTTCTGTGAACACTGAGTGATGACAAACAAATAATTGAATGGGAGTTTGAATCGATTCACTGAAATTGACAGATCAAACAGATTTGTGCAAATGAACCAAACTTTCCACATTTAAAACGGTTTTTGGTACTGCATTTTTAAAAATAATTCTATATTTCAATACTGACTAAATCTAATCAATTCTAATAAACCTTTCTGTACTTACATAGAGACACTACCAGTGTTCACAATCACAGCCTGTCCTAAAACTGCATAATCTGATCCTCTTCCACATCCCTGGTAAACAAAGAGAGACTGCTAATTGATCAAGAAGTGGCGCTGGATTCCCCCAAGCGAGGAAGGTCACCCATACTCACTCGTCGATGGGGGGGAGAAACAGCGCCTCTACTCCCTCGCTGCCATTTTTCTTCACTGACAAAGACTCCATCTGCCACTGAGCCATTTGCAGCCTGCGAGTCAGAATATCAATGATTTCCAACCCTTCTGCAAGTCTGCTTTCACCTTGGCTTCACCTCTACGAGCGGCGAGAAGAGCTGACGGCACAGATATTCTCTCTCAGCACCGCCAGCATCGCTCTCATCCCGCTAAGTGCCGTTTATGCAGCTCGAAGAGGAGAGCGGATATTACTGGAGTTATTTCAGACACACATCCCTAAAGCGGCAGAATTTTCCAGCGGCTACTTGAGTCAATTTTACAGAGGAAAGAAAACAAGGTTGAAGCTACTTACATCAACTCAATGCTACTTGAATCAGTTCCTGCAGCAGCTTGTATCAAATTTTCCATGATCGTTTCAGATATAAGTTTATTGCACTGTGAAACAGTTTTTTTTCTTTTGGTCTAAAAATTTTATTTTTTGGCATTTTAAATGAATTCATGAATTTGTGACTTTTTTTCTGTTCATTAAATGGTAAACAGTGTGGCAATGTTAAGATTTTTATTAAGATATTTTACTTCTTACATTAAACATTTCATTGGAAAAAAACACCTTCAATGCAATATCAATTTCAATACTTTTTTTCAATACATGTACCATAATATGTAATATAGTAATACAATAGTATGTAACTATAAATGTTTACTACAACATTTTAATAATATTTATATATTTTATATATTTATGAATTAATTCATAAATTGTATTAATGTATTTTACTTCTAACATTTACCATCTCATTGAAATTAGGGCTCCTTTCATTGGAAAAAAAATTCAATATCAAGTAATCATTTTCAGTTATATACACCATAATATGTAATATAATATAATAGTATGACTATTTATTTTTACTTATTTTATTAATTAATCTATAAATATTTAATTTATATATATAAATTAATAATTTATTAATTTTATTAATATAATTTACTTCTCACATTTAACATTTAATTGAAATTAAAACTCCTTTGGAAAAAAGAAGAAAAAAACAGCTTCAATTCGATATCAAGTTCAATTAAATGCTCAATAATATGTAAAATAATAATGCAATAATATGTAACTATACTACAGCATTTTAATATAAAAAAGAAAATCTGAGACTTCTGTGAACACTGAGTGACGACAAACGAATCATTGAATCAGAGCTTGAATCAATTCACTGACAGTCTGAACAGATTTGTGCAAATGAATCAAACATTCCACCTCTAACGCTGTTTTGAGACGCTAATAAAAGCTCTGTCTGAACACTTTGAAATTTTCCATGATCTATTCACATGAGAATTCACTGCACTATGAAACACACTGTACCTTGCAAAACTCAAAACTTGTTTCCCATTAAAAAAACAAAAGCAAAACAAAAGGAAGGTGAACGGACCAGAGGAGGCTGTAACCATGCGTGTTAACGCTTCCCTCCATGGAGCCTCAGATGGACAGATTTGGACAACCCCATCTGTGTGTTTGTGATGGTACTTAAGGAGGGCGACCTCACCTGACCTGCTGTAGGTTTATCCCAGCTGAGCCCCACAGCTACCACACGCTCTCCTCTAATGAATCGCCACTTCCCCGCCGTGATTTTAGCACCACAAAACACACTGATTAGTGGTGGGATTGATTTTTCCAAAGATGGATCTCATAAGGTTCTGCTGTGACCTCAGGCCACAATCATCTCAGCAGTGCTTGAGAAGAACATTACAAAACACGTCTGTCTGTTTTCATCCTCCTCCCTGAACACATCCAGTGATACAATCATACCGAACACCCAGCAGTCCCTCTGCGTTTGCATTTCATTTATGTGTTGTTTCAATGTTGTTGTTGTTGTTGGTAAATAAAACTATTCAAAATGGTTTTCAATAACTGAAATAAAAACTTCATATTAGGAATGTTCAATTAGAAAAGTTTAAGTACTAAAATGACTAGAATTATATCAAATTTAAATCAAAGATAAATAGAAATATATAAAAAAGACAAATAGCATATAAAATTGTTAAAGGGGTCATATGATGCGATTTCAATTTTTCCTTTCTCTTTGGAGTGTTACAAGCTCTAGGTGCATAAAGAAGATCTGTAAAGTTGCAAAGACTAAAGTCTCAAATCCAAAGAGATATTCTTTATAAAAGTTAAGAGTCAGCCACGCCTACCTAAAACGGCTCGTTCTAACACGCCCCCACATGTCTACGTCACGATGTGGGAAGATTTGCATAACACCGCCCAAATGTTCACGCAAAGAAAGAAGGCGTAACTTTTATTCTCGCTGTAGTATTTTTGTTGTCGCCGCCATGCCGTGGAGACACTGTGTGAAAAAATCGACGCGTTTCAGAAAGGCGGGGCATAGAGGAGAAACAATGTACAGTATGTGGAAAATAATGTGTTTTTTTAACCTTAAACCGCATAAACACATTTCATTACACCAAATACACAAAATAATATTCTTTTTAGCAACATCATATGACCCCTTTAAAACAAATTAAATAAAAAAAGTTTAATAAATACTGTAGTGGTATTACTAGATAAATTGTTGCTTAAAATGAAGTAAACATTAAATTAAATTAAATATAAAAAAATAAAAAAAAACCTTAAACTTACTTCAGCTAGTTGCCAAAGCAACAATTCTCATTTTCGTTTAGGTTGAAGTGTTAAAATGATTAAAATAAACTAAAATTTAAAAATTTAAAAAAAATTAATAAAATAACACTTACAGGCATATTTTAAAAAGACCAAAAAATGCTAAAACTTAAACTAAAATGAAAACAGAAAATATAAATAAAATAAAAATGATCAAATATTTTAAAAAGTAATAGTATATAAGTGACACCAAATTAATAAAAATGGTTTAATAAAAATAAAAATTTCCAACTCATTACATTTGTAATACTTACAAATATTTGCAAAAAAAATGGCATCCTGAAATAAATTAGTTGACAGCTTTCCAAATCATAATTCTTTTCTACCAAGAAATAAGCATTGAGTATTCATAAAATGTTAGTTTGGTTCTTCAGGTAGGTTTGTGAGGGAACTGCAGGAAATTTGTAATAATTAATGTAATCATAAAAAAAATATTAAAATTAAAAGCAAATCAAAATAAAACACTTACAAAAAAATATGAAATTATTTATTTGTCTACCTGCATGTCATGTGACCTTTAACCGAGAACCGTGAAAATGCAAACGTGGTGTTCAAAATAATATCAGGGATACTTTAAGCAAATATTTTTGCTGTTCAGCTAACAAATATATGTTTGGGAGTCCCTCCTCTACATGATTAGACGATGCCTTGGAAGACGGTCTGAAAGCAGTTTCCTCAGCTTTCTGTGAACTCATTGACTGCTGTTGGTTTCGGACACAGCCACAGAGAGGCAGTGACCGACTAAGCTAAAGCATTAAGCTCTACTGTGAGTTTGTGTGCAGCCTCCCGCTGGCTTTGACCTTAGAGATGCGATCTGGTCTCTCTGACGAGCGTGTCATTACAGCTCAACACATTCCTGACCTAATGAGCCGTCTCCTCTGATCGCATCACAGCAATCATTCGCTGAAGGACAGACGCAGCAGAAATCCACACGTAACCATCAACACGACATCCTTTCAGCTTCACAACATGGTTTATTTTGCCATAATGATGGGCTGATTGGATTTTGGACCACATATACACAACTGTGTGGGGATTTCAGTATGTGTGAGGTTTCACTTACTGTCAATGACGGCCTCTGCTTCAGTTCTGTGACATCACTGTGACATCATCGCTCCGGAACCTGGAATAAAACACATGACGAACAATTACTATAACCGATAAAAAAATCATTACTCCTCTTTTAAAGGTGAAACGTGTTTTTTTTTTCCGATGATGATAACCCTGTTGAAAAATCTAGCATATGCTGGTTAGGTATGTTTTGAAGCATGGCTGCTGGTTTGAGCTGGTTTAAGCTGGTGCTGAGCAGGAGGTAGTTGCTTAGGGCCAGCTTAAACCAGCAGCCATGCTTCATAACATACCTAAACAGCATATGCTGGATTTTTCAACAGGGAAAATACATACAAGGGATTCGTTGGTAGGTTAAAGCATAAATACTGCCATATTATTGCTCTGCTTGCTTGAGCATCAACATTATCTAAATGTATCTTTTTTATTTACGATATTTTGTAACTTTTACTGCCTAACAAGACACATATTTTTTGCTGTGCATTTGTGCCTCTCATCCACTACAAATCAGACCGTTTATACAATTTCCTCCTCGTCCTCTGGTCAGTCTGCCAGTTTCTCGTCTTATTAAATATTACCATATGGGTGCGTTTTGTGGAAGTGTTAAAGGAAATTAAGCCACATTTATTTTAACATCTGCAATTAATCTTTCTTACAAACACCATTCATTTACATCTCAAAACTTCAAATAGTAAGGTATGGAAATAAACCATCTTCAGAGAATCGATGCTCCTTAAAAGGAATAGTTCAAACCAGAAATCTCACTCCAAACAACTACAAATAAACGTGACCATCAAGCGACAAAAATCATGTTAATAATAGTCAATAGGGTTTCAAAACGTGCTGAGAGGAGGAGGTGCAAATGAACTGCAAAAGACTTGATGAATTAACCAAAAAGACACCAAAGACCCTCGAGTTTCTAGTGTCAACATCTTCATGAACTGAAACCTACTGGGATTCTCCAGAAGTTTAAAGTGTCAGGCTCTTGTAGAGAACTTTCTTAAGAAAGTTTGAAGCCATGTCACAAGATGAAAAGTGAAGATGGGCCAAGAAATACCTGAAGATTTTTTAAAGATTAGCTGAGCAAGTTGAACTTTCTCAGGTTGCAAATGAACTTAAATCTGCCTGTTTCTGGAAGTACTTAAAACAGTGGTACAAGAAGTCAACAGCATTCAAGAACATCATGATCTTTATACAGCACAAGAAATCGCCTGTTCACAAGTCAGTCGCTGTATGGCTAACCAGAAAAGGCTTCAAAGAAACACCCACTTGAAACTCTTCCCAGAAAAGGGAAAAAGGACTATATCTTCCTTAAAAGTAAATTTAAATAAAATAATAAATAAATAAAACAAATAAATGAATACTATAACAAAAATAAAATATAAAAATACACTCTAAAAAATGCTGGGTTGTTTCAAGACCCAAAGTTGGGTTGAAACAACCCAGCATTTTTTAGAGTGTATAATAGAATATATAATATTTTTTTAAAAAGTTATTTGTTCATAGTTGCATGGTAATTTATATTCTTTGTCAAACCGTATACATTTTTACTCTTAAATTGTTCATTATTAAATCGCTCTATTCTGAAAACTTATGAAATATGCTTTGCCAGCCAAGTATTTGTTTGCAATACATTGATGAATGTGTATTAAGTTTCTGTCCTGTCAAACTTTACTAGATATAATCTTATTCTTTAACATCACAGGACTGAATTTAATTTCATTTAGCTGTAGGCATGGGAAACCCTCTCATATTACTAACTACATAAAACACTCAGAGAGAGACAGACAGATAAAGACAGACAGACAGACAGAGATAATGAAATTGGAGAGAGACTGACTGACTGAGATGAGCTTTACACGAAAATCACGTCATTCCGTATGGTCTCTCTCAACACTGACATTTATGGAAATTACCACCAGATGAACAAAATAGCTGAAGGGAAAAAACAATCGCTGCAGCCTGGGAAATGCACTTCGAGCAATATTAATCAATGTGAAGGCTAAAAATCCTCATAGATATCCTAGAACAGGCATCCGATTAGCACATGCTCATGTATTGAGTGAGCAAGATCTGAGTTGCTGATGGTTAAATGTTCTAAAATTAAGTAAAAATAAAACTGCATTCAAACATTGCTAAAAAAAAATTCATAAAAGTACAAATGAAAATGACTAAATTTATAAAAAAAATTAGGGATGCACCGAATGTTCGGCAACCGAAATTATTCGGCCGAAAATAGCAAAAAAAAATCTCTTTCGGCGAATAAGCGAAAAGGCAGAATAATATGTACCGAACAATGACTAACGCGATCAAATAGAGGCACGCACTATTGCAGCAAACATGTCGGCAGCGTGAAAGTATTTAAAACTATCAGAGAAAGATGCAGAAATCATTACAAGCACGAAGCACCGACAGCGAGAGACTGTTTAGTGCTGAATCACATGTCTCCGATGAGAAGAGGTGGCTGATGCTGGTGGTTAGGTTACTGTATGATGATTGAAATCGCAATCAAATAGAGCACACACTAATGCAGCAAACATGTTGGCAGTGTGAAAGTATTTAAAACTATCAGAGAAAGATGCAGAAATCATTAATTTACAAGCAGCACTAAACAGTCTCTCGCTGTCGATGCATCACATGTCTCCGATGAGATGAAGAGGTGGCTGATGCTGGTGGTTAGGCTACAGTATGATGATTGAAATCGCGAAATGACCTCAAACGATTAGTAAATAAACTGCAGAATGTTATATTTTCTAATGCACGCACGAATTGCATGTATTCTGACAGCGCTACATGAGCTCGCGGCACCAGGGTTCAAAGTCCAAAGCGCGAGGAAAATCTGCGCTGAAACAGTTATGCCCGGTTCAGACTAAACGATTTTGCCACGATTTGCTTGACGTAGGGTGTCGTGGGGATTCGTAAACGACAATGGGCGTCGGGACGCAAGATTCCATCGTTTCAGCTCGTGTAGTGTGTCATAGTGGACGACAACCGATTCCGCGTCTGTGATGCTTCACGACAGAAAGACTAGCAGGTTTAATTTTTTTTCCGTCGTCCACGACGAGTTCCGTCACATTGGTGACGTTGATCAATAGCAGCACAGAAGCTCTTTCATACACAGGTTTCAAACATGGCAAAACGAAAGAGAGATGATGGTGCTGCTAGGTGGAATTATGAGATGGAGGAAAGGTTCGTGGAGCTGTGGCAACAGTACTCCTGCCTGTATGATGTGTCATCAAGGGACTACCACGACAGAACAAAGAAAGAAAAATGCTGGCGAACTACAGCAGAAGCGCTTCAGCAATGTTTACATTCTTGTTTTCGGAAGTCAGTCACTAGTTCCGCCTTCTCGATGACATCACGCACGTCGTCAAAGATGGCACGCGATGAATGGTCGGGAAGCAACGTGTAGTCTGACATGTTTCTTGTCCACGACACAACAAGATTTTAGGAGTCAAAATCGTGTAATCTGACACAGTGACTATCGTGACCGACAAAAATATCGTGTAGTCTGAACCCGGCATTACTCGTCAGTTGCTCAGTAACATTTTTGTGAATTTTTTTTCAAAGGCACGTGACAATGTGATACGTGCGACAAACATCTTCCCAAATTCGTAATGAGAATCATTTATAAATCTGCATGCTGTTGTCAACAAAAAGAAGCACTGAGATCTTCCTGCGGGTTTCTGCCAAAATAAAAGCCAAACAACTCCATCGACATTCATAAATGTTAGTATTGTAATTTTACTGTTGTTCTGTAAAATAAAATAAAAAAGACAATAATAATGATAATAATAATTACCCCACCACTGCTCTATTAATATATTTACTATAACATTCACACACAGTGTTCAAATTGGGATCTGTAATATATTCTAATGTTTTAAAAGAATTATCTTCTGCTCAGCAAGGCTGCCTTTATTTGTACAGTAAAAAAAATACATGCCTGATTCAAGTCCAAAAAATAGCCAAAAAATATTATTACACTAACTTATTAATTTTAAGTTAAATTGTGCTTTATTTGTATGTCTGCTAGAATGTTTAAAAAATGTTCAGGTGTTAAGTAAATGTTTAAATTGTTGTTTTGTAAATTATTTTTTATTTGAAAAGCAGGACAAAACAGTAAAAAGCACATTTTGGCCATTTCATTTATGCAATGGTGAAGAAAAAAAAAAAGGCAAAATAGGCCTACATGGGGGGGGAAAATACGAAAAACCATGTTCAGTATTCGGTATTCGGCCCAGTGTTTCATTTTGTTCGGCTTCGGCCAAGAATTTTCATTTCAGTGCATCCCTAAAAAAAAATTCTTCTTTATGTTCATTTAGTATAGAAACCATGCCTATAAAGCTTAGATTAAGTTTGGGAAAAAATATTTAAAAATTATAAATTCAAATTACAAAAATTAAAATAAAAGTTTACAAATAAAATACATACGTTTTAATTTTAATTATTATATTTATTTACATTTAAAAAAATATATAATAATAATAATAATATATATATACACACACACACAAATAATAAATATTCTTCCTTATGTTCATTTAGTGTGGTAGTGTGGAAATCATGCCTAATAGTTTAAGTTTAGGAAAAAAATATTTTAAAATGATAAGTTAAATTAGAAAAACTAAAAAATACATTTTTAAACTAATTGTGTTCTTTATTTATTTACATATTTACAACTATATTCTATTTTTTTGTTTACTGAAATATAAATATATAATATTATATAGACAACAAGCAGTCCTACAGAAGCAAAACTACGAATCCCTTTTATTTTGTGATTCTGCTAAACACAAGCAGCAGAAGCATATTAGGGGAGGGATATTTCCATCCTACAGAGCATTTCATTGGATAACTCATGCTGCTGTGTGCATGACGAGCTATAAATATATTTTCCCACAAGATAAAGCATGCAAATTTCAAATTCAAAAACAGCCGTTCATAACGTACTTGTCTCCCGTTAAGAAGCTCCGCATTACAGGTATTTCTTTACTGACGAAATATGACGGAAGGACTCCGTTTCTTTTATGAAGACCATGTTTTATCCAGTGCTG